GCTCTTCCAAAAACCAATTGAGGTTCACTGATCACGGTACTCAGTATGTGGCGCTGTCATTGTCGACCATGCAGTTCATCTGGTCATGGTGTTCAGCCTGAAGTCGCTGATCGATCAACACTGGACGCTACACATCTGGTGGGACACCGTCCGTGTTGACAATGAAGTCATCTCCAGGACGGCTGGCAGTATACTGATATAAATTGTGGAGAAAGAACTGATAGAAAATGGCGCATGATCTAGGAGGTATAAAGCAGCGATTCATAAAGTCATCGGAGCGGCTGAACCAATGCTGGTGCTAACCGTAACAACAACAGCAGCAGCAGCAGCAACAACAACAACCACAGACCATCATACAGTGCAGCAATGGCAATAATGCAACATTTGATTTATGGAAACGTGTCGTCATACGAATCACACTGCATGACGGAATGAATGGCACTGAGCAAAGATGAATGCCATAGCATCGATTCCCATAAATCAGATTTACTCTATACATATAAAATTTCTAAATGTAAATGTCTCCCTCGTAAGGGATTTTTTTCAATTTCGAACTCAACTCCATCATAACATTTGTCTGAAAGGTGCCGAGTCCAATTCTGCTCAAGGACAATCTTCACGAATTCCCTCGAACAAGCAATTTACCTACCCATACATTCGTTCAGACCAGTGTCGCTAAGTCGGTAGGTCCCGAGTTCAAGCCCCGGTCGGGGTCACTAGCCCTTCTTCTGACGTTGATAAATAAATGTCAATAAGGAATCAGGGGTCTATATATTACGGCTGCCACATGGCTGTGGACGGTGCATTACAAAATAAGGCACCTCTGGCTGATGGTGTAGAAACGGAGATCTGCACCGAACCATCAACTTCAGGGCAGCGAGGGCATCATCGTGTTCCAATCATAAAAGTGAAACAAGACCGATATTTCAAGCGTGACTAATTTTCCTTTTCTTTTCAGTCATAACAGATTAAACTAGATGTTAACGTTAGTGATATTTTATTTCATGTTCAAAAAGGATATTTTGCCGTCTGTTAGAGCCAGGCA